GCTTGAAATCCTTGTCACTCTGGTGGTCAAATATGACAAACCATACATTCTCCCCTAATCTCTGGCGCCGGTTGTATGTAAGAGGGCGCGCCACCGATCGAGTCTGTTGAAGGTATTGCAGATAGTTGCTGAAAGTGTCCATAGCAAGCAGTGTCATCTCGGGGGTGAATAGGCCAAGCCAGCCTATGTGTGACTGCCAATTGGGCAGACTGGACGCCCTAAGGAGGATGATCAGCTGCAAGAAATATTCGGTGAAATCCGGGTCGCATGAGTCGAAGTCATCGGGAAGATCGAGCGTCTGCTGAAGCGTAGCCACAACCAGCAGGATGTTCACGATCGTCTCAGCCTCCGCTCTCCTCTGACCTATATCCGACATGAGGATGGTGTGGGACTGTTGGTAAGATGGGAGGGGAGGGAGCGTGCTGCTGAGGGGACAAGTTGCGTGGGTGGTCAAAGATACATGGCAAGTGAAAGATGAGCAAGTAGAAACAAGGATAAGGATGCCTGCAGGGACACAAAAACGTTGTCTCGCAAAACATCATTTTGATCCCGCATCTCACAAAAAATGGTTTCAAATTTAAAATCGTTATACTCCCCTCGACGGAAGCAAATATCGTCCGAGGTGAAAAATCACCCGCAGTGATTTTTTGATATTTGAAACATACTAATACTGCATAAGGGGGTTTTCAAGGCCTTGAGTGAATTTTCTCATGAGTGCCTGATGGTTGAGAACTGACGCATTTTGAAAGGGTTTTTAAGGCTTGATTAGGGTTTTCAAACCCAGCCAATCCCAGATTCATGAGCCCGCGTTTCGGTGATGGCACGTCAACGTTCCACCAAGTCCCCGTATGCGTGTGCGGCGAGCTCCGGGAAACTCCTCTGAAATAATGTGGCATTATACATCACGTAAACACAAATGGAAGCACTTTTCATTTGTTTAAGTTCTTCCTGCCCTTCATCCCACAGCTTTATCAGGCCACCTCCTGCATGCATGCATAGCAGAAGCGCTTCTCATTTGCTGGGTCAAGGCACTCAAACGCAACAGGCTGCCCTCCGCTAATGCTTACTTGTATGCAGTCCAACAGTCAAGACAAAGAGTCACAGCCAAAAAGGGTCGACGGGTCGTATATCAGGAAGGGTATGAGGCAAGCCTCTTACAGCTACCTATCCACAGCAGCAGGTCAGCATGTCTGAAAAAGGTCCCCATTACTCCTCCTTCTGAAGATTTCTCTTGAGCCTAATGTAAAGTGTTGACGTTCAGACAGACAATGTTTGCCCTGCTGCAGTATTGCAGAACGGAACATTTGAGACTCAACGGTCTCCAGGACAGGTATTGGAAGGGAGTATGTTGTGGGTTGGTTGGAGAGCTGCGATGGCAAGAGGTTCATTGCGAGCGGAGTTGTAGGGAGGTGAGTGGGCAAGAAAGTTGAATGGCGCTGTCAGAGATGAAGAGGGTGTGTGTAGCGTGCTAGGCGCCTGCACGCCCCATGGACTATTTTACCCTTGCTCGTCTCTGTCTTTGTCTTTGTCTTTGTCTTTGTCTTTGTCTTTGTCTTTGTCTTTGTCTTCGCTATCGTTACTCGTTCTCGTTCTCTTCCTCTCTTGTAGTAAGGCTGTTTGACATACATCGACACACCCATATTTGCTACCCTGACCTTCTTCCACCCGTCTGCTCTTTCTTATTGTCTTTAGCCTCTTCGTACACTTCGCTGGTCAACTTGTACCCTTATTCGCTTCGTGCTGTAGACATATCACGTAGTCGCTCCGTCTATCGTCTTGTCACTTATTCATGTATATAAGAAAGGCTGGGTGTGGGGACAGAGACCTCAAACACATTCTTTGACTCTCTTCTCTCCCCTCCTCTTCTTCCTTAACCTCTACTCCTTCCTCCAAGACCACATCCAAGCACACCTGTGTCTTCCTCTTCACGTACTTCGACTCAACCCTCAATTACACGTGGTGATAACTTCAGCTGTCCCCCCAGAGCAGGCCTGATCACCACATCTGGGGGCCTAACTGGGTGTTCAAGGTCTAGTATCTCTATTACCATACTCCACCACCACCCTACTTCCACTTTACCACTTGCCCTCCTCTACACCCACCCTTAGGTGTATTCATCTCGACTATCTACCTGGGCACCGAGTCTACACTCTGTGTCCTCTACTGCCTCTTTCTTGACCGCTTCTACGACTAGCGAGAAAAACTAGAAAAAACCCTGAGGCCGTGCACACCTCAGGCACCAAAAAAAAAAAAAACAACCAACAGATTTGAATCTAGAAAACCAAAAAACCACCAAAAGCATCAGTTTCTCTACTTGCCTCAGCCCTCTCCGCTTTTTTCCTCGGTAACTCCGCTCTCTTCCTCGGCACCCTCCGCTTTTCTACTGTTACGTAACAGCGGTCTCACCTCAGCACAACCCTTTATCGCTGCTTCTATACTCCGGCACAACCCTTTATCATTGCCGCTTCCTCCTAGAGCCACCCCTCCTAGCAACTTTTGATTGCTCCTCGACACTCTCCTAGTGTCCATTCCTCTGGTTTCCTTCGAAAAGCCGTTCGAATTCCTGGCGCCTCTCCGTCTTCCTCTGTTGACTGACGAGTTTAAACGGAACGACAAGGGTTTAACTACCACAAGGTAGCTTTTACCACTTCCTCCTCAAGCTCTTGCCGATCTCGCTCCAAGACGCTCTATGTCACGACCACGCTCCAGCTTCCACGTCATCACACATCTCATTACATATTCCTTTTGAGCTGGACACGTCGCGACACTCATCACTCAACACTCGTCATCACTTCCTCGTTTGTGGCACCCCTCTTGCTTATCCTGTTACCTCACAACCATCATATAGATCCAGGAGCTACGCATCTCAAGGGACATTGCTATCACAACACCTACACAGCAATTCATCTCCGAGACACAACCAACTCTGACTTAACCCGATACCTATCTCCAACCAAGACCTAGACACCCGAGCACCCTCATTTTTCTCCACCCCAATTGCGATTCAAAGACACACCCAATCACCCTGTAACTCAGAGACACTTTCTATACATAGAAACACTTTCTTTACATAGAGTCTGCTTCCAAGATATTGTGAGCCGTAGCAATTCTAGAACTTATTTCCATAGCAACTCATGAGAAAGCGCAGCAAGCCAAGGGAACGGCTTAGTTAGTTGGGTGGCGAATATAGGAAAGCTGAGTAAGCCGCTAGGGCTCTGGATGTCTATATAAGTCGATAGTTTTACATAGATTCGAGGATCCCAGCGACCTCGAATACGTCTGACTTGTCTATGAACTAAGGAACAAGTGAACAGGCCTATTCAAACTATACTAGCTAAGCCGACAAGGAGTCTTAAGCCTTAGGTTAGTTGCAAACCCCTATCGAGACCAAGATAGATTTGCATAAGGTCCCGCACGTACCCGTATATTGTTGTTAACATATATGTAGACCACCCCTACCTTCATTTCCGACAAGAGATTCTGTTATACTGCTGAGCAGATATATAGGGACACTGTGGGTAGGACCTGACACTCTAGCTCTCGATACTCTATTACGAGACGCTCTCTTTCTCTTGACGCTTCGTCCTGAGACCTTGTAAGCAGCGGATGGGCTGCTTCACTGATGACAGGGAACGGCGGGGCGAACGG